CATTTCCCCAGCCGGTGGGCAAGGTCACTTCTGCAGGATCAAAGGAGAAAGGACATTTCTAGAGAAGAGTGGCCAAGCAAAAGTGGGGGAGGTGGCCATTGTGCCACCTGAAGGAGCAGGAGTTCATCAGCAAAGTGAGGGAGGGAGCTCCTCCTGGAATTTGGGGATGAGACTCAATTATAGGATGATCTTAGCTTATGGTCCTTTTAACAGTCAGACATCCAACTTTGGACATGACAGAATAAATAGAAACTGTTTGAAATCCATCAAAATGAAATTTGTGGTTGTGAAAGACAGTTTTGGCAGAAGCATATGAATGAACTGAAAGAGGAAGACAGGAGCCCAGTCGGTTAGGAAACCAGTTCGTAGCCCAGTCAGTCATGTAGAAGGATGTCCAAGACACCACGTGTCACAGATTAGTGTGCATGACGTTTGTGGTAGACAGAATAAGAGTCCTAATCTACGTCCTAATCCCTCAGACCTGGGAACACACCACCTCACAAAAGGGTCTTCGGATGTGATCAAGTCAACAATCCTGAGATGGGGGTGAGCTGGGGGCTAGCTTGGATTATTAGGATAGGCCAACATAGTCACTGCTAGGTCCTTTCGTCATGGAGGCACAAGAGTCAGAGTCATGAAACATATGGAAGCAGTGTGCGACGGGGACATTTGGAGCCTCTACAGTCCTGTGTGAGGGAGGAGCAGTCACAGTGCCAAGGAGGACAGGCACCTCTAGAAGCTGGACAAGGCAGGAAATGATGCCCCTGGAACCTGCAGAAGGACCCAGCCACACAGACTCCTAGATTTAACCCTAGTTCGTGTCAGATTTCTGACCTCCAGAACCATGAAGGGTTGATGTGTCTGGTTTGAAGTCACTGCATCTGTGGCAATTTATTTCTGCAGAATTTTTAAATTCTAGGCTTCACTCAGGCAGGTTCTCGTGCAGCAATTCTGGGCCTCGCCTGCAAGTCTTGACAGACACCATGTCACTCTCATTCGGTGGCAGATGGCATTTGGGGAAGCATGGCTGAAGGCAAGAGCCAGAAATGACTGACAGAAATCCAGCAGGTCACTCTGGGGAGGACAGAGGTGCCATCCTCAGGAAGATGGACCCGTGGACTGTGGGGCTCTCACTGTTCTAGCTGGAGAGGACAAGACAGAGAGCTGTGCTAAGAGAGGAGATGCTGGCGGCGGAGAAGTCGGTCAAAGTCAAAGCAGTCAGTCTCCAGGGGCTCAGTCTTATCATCTGTGAAGTGTGAGATGAGGATGAGTGTCAAAGATGTCCAAAAAGCTGGACAAAGATCATTTGTGATCACCAAGGACTACTTAGAAAACACTTTGAAAATAACACTAGTAACTAGTGAGATAAATCCCCTTAAAAATAATTTGATAGACTAGATTGCACTCTTCAAATCTACTGAGAAAGTCTAGTTCACTGTGTCCAAGAAGTTTCAGTTTAGGGCAGGGTTGTAAAAGCCTTCCCTGCGCCACCCCCTGCAGCTCAGGTACCACAAGGCTCCCATGACCTCAGGAAAATGAGGGAAGATCCCTAAAACCCACAAATCTGGGGAGAGCTGGAAAGAAGGGAAATCAGGCTCATTAAAGTAAATTTTAATTAGGAGTGAAGATAACCCCTGCATGTCTCACCCCTGCAGGCTGCTCACACAGTGACAGGCCACAGCTTGCATAGGACACACCTTGCATAGGACACGAGGTGGGGAGGACACCCTACCCAGTGTAGATGGATGTGATTTTCTACGATACCAGCTTATTCCTCACGAGATTCTTCCAAAGTATCGTTTTCTGCCACAGTTCTTGGCTTAGTAAGTCTAGAAAGAAAACAAAAAGGATGTAAAATGTTCTTAGAAAAGTCAGATTTTTTTTAATATAGCAACAAAAACTTAAATCAAGCACCTGCAAAACCTTCCAGAGCCTTCCATGTAACTTCAGCTCCTGGGATCTTTCCCTAAGTAGCAGCTAAGAACCTCAACAGACCCAGCCCAGAGGACGCTAGCTGCAATTTGCTTACGGTGCTAAGTGTTAATGTTCTGAGATTTCAAACGGTGACGTGAGACTTGAAGTAGGGTTGCAGGTCGATGGAGAAGCAGCTGACTGCATGATGTGCTGGAAGTGGCTGGGCCCGGCTCTCAGCAAAGCGGCCGTGTTGACGCAGGGAGATTACAAAGATTTTTCTATTTCACTTCATACCGCCCCGTATTTTCTATAACAGAACAGAATGTGCTGTCTTTATACTCGGAAAATAATCCTAAATTTTTAGATTAAAATTTTGAATCGTGAGTTTAGGTAGGAGAAAGAGCCCTTCTGAATTCTGGGATGACTGGCTGTCATAACCAGTTCAACCCAGGGCCTCAGCTTCCGCCCTGGTGGCTCACTCGTGGCATGGTTACCTGGGCTGGTGTGGGCAGCACCTCATCTTGGAAAGGGGAGCGCTGAGTTCAAGAAAGGTGAGCACAAATTCAAAAGTCCTTCCTCCCACATCAAAAGGAAATCATATTTTAAGATGCCAACGTGGTAAGCAAAATCACGGTCCCCACAATGTCCACATCCTGACCTACAGGTCCACGAGCAGGTGATGTGACACAACCACAGGGGCTCCCAAGGTGTGACAGGTTGGGGGTCTTGGGATGGGACATTTTCCTGGATTCTCCCCAGAGTCCCTATTTGTAACGGAAGGAGGGAGTCAGACTCCAGAGCAAAGTCATAAGGGCTCTTTCCAGCTCTGCCCCAAGGGTGCCTGTCAACCTCTCGCTTAGGAATGCTTTGGACCCTTTCACCTAGTCCTCCAAGAAATGTCTTCACTACCTAAGAAAAACCCCACATGTCTTTCTTTCCTTTCCCCTGTGACTCCCTCTGCTTTTCCCCTGGTCACAAGTCCTTCACGTGTCTGCTTGATATGTCCCACACAGGAGGCCTGCGTGTGCCGGCAGCTCGGCGTGTCCTCCCCACCCCAACACGCCACCCTCCTCCATACCAGCACTCATGACCACTGCACGTCCCCAGCTCTGTGGCCACCAGTCACACACAGAACGTGGCTCCAGACAAAGGCTTCACACGTCACCATGCCGAGGACCAGAGCCACACTTGGTGTGTTGTAACCACCTGGTGCAACCCGTGAGTGAATGAACATTTTTCAGTGTTTCAATGTCACACACAGAGTATAAGGAACAAGGCTTTGCTGGGTTCAATCCGCTTCTCCAGCAGAGAATGAACTCAAAAAGAGTCACTTTTAAATCCAGGCCTGCTGTCCAGCTGATGTGTCACCACTCTCGCTTCTGGGTGCATCTTCCTCTTCACTGTCCACACTGGAAGCTGTAGCTGGGGGATTTCCATGATTTTAAGCTTGAAACTCTTGGCTCATTTGAACCTTGCACAAAAAAATTGAAAACTGAAAACAAAGAGCAAAACTGTTTTTACTAAGCACACTTTTTTCCTTCTCGTTGACAGCACTGGGCTTTCAGTTCAGAGCGTGGTGCGTGCTAGGCAGCTGCTTGAGTCACGCCTCCAGCCCCGCACGTTTCATGTTCAGACTCAGTATTGGAGTTTGGGTGTAATTATGCAAGTTTCATTTAAATTGTATTTTCTGGGGTTAAAATGTTTTCCTCTTACTGGCCTGCGACCTTAAACAAAGTACCTAACCTCTCCGTGCCTCCTTTCCTCATCCATGCCTGCTGCCTCTCACTGCTGAGCACACTGAGATAAAACTCAGCACACAACAGTGCTTGCCACACAGTAGACACTCTGTCAGCCTCGGTACTGCCGAGGTCTTAGTTGTCGAAGCTAGACCTGAAGGGAAGGAACCAAGGCATCGTAGAACTGCTATTTGGTACAAAAGAGGACTGCCGTGTTAGGAGAGAAAGGGTATTGTTCAACCAAGCGTCTGCGTGAGGTTCTTGATCTCCACAGTAATGTATCAAGCACCCATGATGTTCAAGTCGTGGTGCCAGAAGTTTTCCTCACCTGTATCAGCACCAAGCCATTGCTCGAAGCCACTCTGCAAGGAGGTAGGATCGCCTCCACCTCCCAGGTGCACAGAAGCTGACTTGGTTTCCCAAAACTGCAGGGCTGCTGAGTGGAGAAGCACGAAGGCAGCTAAACTCCGACTGCAAAGCCCAAGTCCAAAGCTTGGGACTAACAGTGGAGAAGAGTTGGGGCCAACACGGGTAAGAAAGGCCAGACTCACATATGTGCCCAACACTGCTTCGGTCACTGGAGACACAGCACAACCTTCCTGGGCTCGTGAACCGCTTGCTCGTTCCCCTATTCTAGGCGTCTTGCATAGCCACTGATGGTACCTTGCTTACCGGCCCAACCCAGGCCCTGTGGGTTTAAACTCGTGTAACCTAAGAAAAGTGTACTTGAATATCTTGCTTTAAAATGCTACCCGGGTGGTGTAAGAGGGAAAAAAATATTTGACACAATGACAGGACAAGTGATTGGTCAGCTGTCAGGACCAGGACGTCCTAAATCCTCTTTTGAGTGAAAGTGGAAGCCAGGTCAGACCTAGTATGTAAAATCAAGCCCGATGCAGGGGTCTCAGCATTTAAGAAAAGGGGGACGACTTTCCCACGAAACTTCTTCAAACTACATAGTGATGTAGACGTCTTCTTGTCCCTTAACTTTTCCTGTCCCTTCTTCAGCAGCGAGGGGCAAATAGCTCTGGTCACTAGACATTCTCAGAATACTGTACCCTCAGCTCTGGGGCCCACTGATACAAAGTGAAACATAATTTCCCCTTTTTTAGGACAAATCTGTAAGGGATTTCCCCCTCTCCGCTGATCCTCTTTCCCCACACAAATCTTGGGTCTCTTTGGAGCCAGTCCTGCGGCTGGTTCAGTATTTTTTCTCACTGAGCAAATACAGAACTTGCATGCATTGTGGAAGGAAAAAGCCTTTTCCTTTTCTTTTAGGGGAAAGAGCATAGCAAGGTCTCCTTGCATTTTGTTCCTCTCCCACTGCTCCTGTGCAGCAAAGCTGGGACCATGTCACTCCCCAACTGCTCAGTGGCCAGCCCGGAGGTGGATACAGCCGTGGGCACCCTCCTTGCCCTGGAGTGTGGCCTGAGCCTGCCGGGCAATGCTATCGCCCTGTGGACCTTCTTCTTCCGCCTCAAGATGTGGAAGCCTTACACTGTCTACCTGTTCAACCTGGTGGTCGCCGACCTGCTGCTGTCTGTCTGCCTGCCATTCCTCGTGGCCTTCTATCTGAACCACAAGGTCTGGGGTCTCAACCACACATCATACCAGGTGCTGGTCTTCCTGCTGACCCTCAGCCGAGGGGTGGGAGTGGCTTTCCTGGCTGCAGTAGCTCTAGACAGGTATCTGCGTGTGGTCCACCCACGGCTCAAGGTCAACCTTCTGTCCCCCGGGTCAGCCCGGGGCATCTCAGGCCTCATCTGGCTTCTGATGGTAGCCCTCACCCACCAAGGCCTGTTTGGTCCCAAGACTGCCCAGAATTCCACTGACTGCCCCAGCTTCTACCCCACCAGAGAGTCATCCGCCAGCGCCACCTGGCAGGAGATGTTCTTCTTCTTCCAGTTCCTGCTTCCCTTCGGCCTCATCTTGTTCTGCAACACCAGCCTCATCAGGATCCTCCAGAAGAGACTCCGAGAGTCCCACAAGCAGCCCAGGCTGCAGAGGGCCAAGGCCCTGGTCACTGTGGTGCTGTTGCTGTTTGTACTGTGCTTCCTGCCCAGCATCCTGGCCAGGGCCCTGGTGCACATCTTTCGAGGGTCACAGAGCTGCCCTGTCTGGCGCAAGATGGTGCATACCTCGGACATCGCAGGCAGCCTCACCTGCCTGCACAGTGCCCTGAACCCGGCCGTCTACTGCTTCTCCAACCCGGCCTTCACCCACTCCTACCGGAAGGTGCTCAGCAGCCTCAGAGGCAGGAGGAAGGCCGTGGAGCCTCCCAGCTCCGACCTCAGGGACTCCTACTCCTGACAATGTCGACTCTACGGGCTCCTGCGTGTGCGGGAACCATGCATTCTTCAGCCCTTGAACGATGGAGGTGGCTGGATTGGCAGAGGAGAGAGGAAGACAGAGGGCCTTGTGGTCTCAGCAGGCAGGTCATTTTCACTCTTCTCACCTCCTGAACAGACTTGGGAAACTGAGGCCAGAAAGCGCTGAAGCTCTAAAGAGGTGCGGGTGTATTGTGCTTATGTAGTTTGTGCTCAGCCCATTATGCTTTTGTTTCTATAAAATTTTGCTTTATTTTTATAGGTTGTACATCACGTTAAAGACAGTGCAGTTAAGTCCCTCTTTTTTGTTGTTGTTCTTGTGGTACTGGGCTTTGAACTCAGGGCCTACACCTTGAGCTACTCCACAAGCCTTTTTTTTGTGATGGGTTTTTTGGAGATAAGGTCTCACAAACTATTTGCCTGGGTTGGCTTCGAACCTCAATCCTCTAATGTCTGCGTCCTGAGTAGCTGGGATTACCAGCACCCATCTCCCTTGTTTCTTACAGGAAGCCCTCGCCTCTAAGTGTCTCAAAATCACCTCTCCATCTTTTTGTGGGAGTTTGAATGTCTAGGTCCCTTCTGAAACTTACTCTGCTTCTCCTGCTTAACAGACCATTATACTGATCTGGGAGAAATGCACAATGTAGGAATTGCATCTGAAATGATGGTTTGGCAGGGTTGGCATCCACCTGTGGGGTGGGTGGGGCAGGCCTCCCTGGAGACCACTGATCATATCAGTCCTGGTAAATTTTGCCCCACCAGAACTGGTGCCTGGGGAGGAGAATTTCCAAAGCCGCTTTCCTTACTGCCACCTCTCTGTCTTCATACCCAGAAGGATGGAAACAGGAACCACCACCTCCACAGAGGCAGCCCCACCCACAGCCCGCCTGGGCTGCACCTGTGGAGGGAGGTTGCTCCATGCCGGGCCACATCTGAGGTCAAAGCTGATGGCACTGGCAATAGAAATTGTCAAAACTGGCTCTGCCGGGGCCTTGGCTTGCAGGTAGGTTCCTCGTCAGTGTGTCTCCCAGTTTGCTGAGGAAGGACGCTATGCTCTTCTTACCCCATGGAGTGTGCTGTATTTGGTGTTCCCCATGGGGACTAACTCTGCCAGCATTGCCCTACTGTTTCCTTGGGTTTTATTTTCCCTGAGTGAGTCAAAGGGCTGAAAGGAGACCCTGTGGCCAGATGAAGATATAACCCTCTCTTCGTGAGAAAGGAGGTCTCCGCTTTTCTGCTCCTGACCCTAAAATGCTGCTTTCAAAACCTAACATCCATCATAAGTATTTTCCATACTGTGATAAACCCCTCTCATGCATTCGGACCCTGACTGCACAGTGATCTGTCAGCAGACGGTTCCTAACCCTCTCCTGTGTCTGGACATTTGGATCCATGACTGCATGGGTAAAGTGCCCATGAAATGTGACAGTCATCTGGCACAGGTCACTGAAGCACATACCCTGGCGAGCAGGGGGGGAACCAGCCCACTAAAACTCATCAAGAAGGTTTTGCTGGCCAGGCATGGTGGATCCCTCAAGTCTAGCCCTTCTAGACTCAAGGTTCCCAGGCTTGTTGTTGTGGGCTGAGCCCTTCCTCAGGGAGGGCTTCCCTCTCCCCCTCTATCTCACTGCAGCTCACACTCTTTTATTTTGGGGAAGTGTCACCAAAGGACCCCTGCCCCCTAAGAGTCCTCCTCTCTGCTCACACTATGAGTTTCATATGCCATCACAGCTTCTGGGGACATGGGAGCCTTGACAAAACCCTGGTGTCCAGCTACCCCCCCACCCCCCATCATTCTGACTCAGTTGGTCAGGCTGTGGAAGGAAGTTCCTGGATCCTGACATTTTCAAGTTCTTCCCCCATTGACTCTTAATGTGCAGGCAGGGCTGGGAATCACAGGGTGAGTCGCTAAGGGTGGACCTAAGGGATTAGCTCCACCACTTCTTAGTTCTATGACCTGGAGTGAATCACTATGTACTCTCCACTGTCCCATCTGCAAAATGAAGACAATAAAATCTACTACAGGATTGTTGTAGGGATTAAGAAAACTAACACATAAAGTGTTTATCTCAGAGTCTTGTCCACCATTGCATTCAGTAAATAATGATTTGCATTTTTACACCATCATCTGAAATCTATTTCCTTGTCTACTTTCCCGTCCAGTCTGTGATCCTCTGGGACATGGTTTTTCACTTACATATCCTCAACTCAGAACCCAAACATGACGGCAGAATGTTGAAAATTTCAGTTAAGGCATTGCCATCCCCTGGGGGGTGTTTTATAAGGCTCCTGTGTGAGTCACTGTTCTCACATCTGTGAGATAGGATTTCTTTTGTTCTGGTCACTTGAGCAGCTGTCACTGACTTTTTCTCTGTCCCCCTCCCATCCAGTTAAGCAAGCACTGTAGGCAAGGGGAAAGCAAGGTCTGTTCTCCTCCAAACTGTCTCCTCTTGATGAGGAAATGCCTAGAAAGGAAAAGGGGAGCAGGGGTGAGAGATGGCCTGAGGACACAGCTGCCTGCTCCTGGCTGTGGGTTTCAGCTTCTTTCCTCTTCTTGTCACAAGTAGCTGGCTCACTGTCTCATCTGTCAGCTTGCAGCTCTCAGCCCTGCTGGTTTCCCACATATGTAGTAAGAGTGGCACGTGACGAGTTTCTCTTCCTTATTAAGATAAGCCATCACTTTCGGAGCACTGTTAACATTGCTGTTTCTTTTTCCAAACCCACTGGCAACTGATTCCCTTTGGCCACAGGCAGGTCCTCCACCCGCCCAGAAGGTGCCAGTCCTCATCTTCTGAATTCCTGCCAGCCTGTCTGGTCTCAGCCCTGAGATCTTCCTTTGTGTGAAGCCTCACTGACAAGGTCCCCAGCTGCACACTGACAATCCAGTCCCCAGGTTCTCTCTGCCCTCGCCCGCGTTCCCACCCCACCAGCCCCTTGAAGCCTGAGTGTGCAGGCTCACCAGGAACCCCCACTGCTTTGTCAGAGCCCAGCACACAGTGGACTCTTCATAAACCAATGGAAAGAAGAAATAATCAGGTTAACCTGGTTCTAAGTTAACAAGTGAATTTCTTAATTAACAGCTGGGTTTTTAAGCTATGGGAAGTCTGCATCGTGAGGCAAACTTAATCACGTCTGACCGTAACCTAACGCCCTTCAACCATCTTAAGGTCAAAACAAGGAACAAACTCTAATTTGCCTTCACACCTAGTTGGGGACAGTGAAATGTGTTATGTGACTCTCAGGGGCTTCTGGAACATATGCCAGGGGCTCATGCAGTGTTAACCAGTAAGTCATCTCCAAGACGTCTCGTGTGTGCGTGCGTGTGTGCGTGTGCGTGTGTGTGTGTGTGTGTGTGTGTGTGTGTGCAGAAAATACACATAACATAAAAGTCACCATTTTGGTCACGTTACATGCACAGCTCTGTGGCATTAAGAATGTTCTGCTGTGCAGTCACTACCATCAACCTCCAGAGATGCCTGCAGCTGGACTCTGGACACCACAACTGGGCTAACAGTGGATTTATGACTTATTTATACTGGTCCCGCTGGCTGACTAATTCACAAACAAAAGAAATTGATGCTCAGAGTTGGGGGCTTGACTGCCAGTTAATGGGCTTTTGGGAAGTGGATCCTGAGGGTTCGACCTCATCAGGGGGTCCATCCTGTGAGGGATTTGTGAGATGATGCACTGTTGGGAGTGGTGAAAAGGAGGTGACGG